AGGGAGGAGCCCGACTCACCCGCAAACTCATTAAAGTGGTTTCCAATGTCGAAAGCCTGGTAGTTGTAGCCGGTGTACTCGTAGTCTATGAAGCGAACGTGCTCTGCGGAGGCAAAGACAAGGGTGGTGAGAGAGGCTGGAGATGGAGACGCCAGCCCCTGGGGAGGGGGGCGGGGGACAGAACCCCCCCCACGGCAAGGAGGTGGGCGAGGGACAGACCCCTCCGCCGGGCATGCGAAGCTGCTGCCACGAACCTCGTGTCCCATCGTAGATGATGTTCTTGCAGAGCAGGTCGTTGTGGCAAAGCACGATGGGGGACCCCAGCTGGGAGAGCGTTTCCTTCATCCAGGCCAGCTCGTGTTCAAGCATCTCCAGGCTGGGCACGTCCTGCTGGAAGCTGCGGAAGGGGACGGGGTGGAATCACTTCTGCTCACCAGGAACCTCCCTCGGGGGCAGAGGAGCAGCGTTGCCACTTGCTTGCCTCCGCATTTTGTAAATGAACTCATCAGTGACACAAAGCGAGGGCTAACGAGGCCATTTTTGATGAGGAGGCCAGGCTCGGCTTGGACATCCTCCGGCGTGCTGCGTGGTACCCAGGGCACCTGGCAGATGCCACGGTGCAACCTCAGCCCTTCCCTTCTCCCCACTAACACCCGCATCCATCCCCCAAATTCACCCAACCAGCCACCAAGCTCCCCAGCGCTCACTCCCAAAGCACCCAACTAGTCCCCAGGCAACGGGAAGTTTTTGGACTCTTCCAGGGCACGTACCCTCCCAGTAACCTCAGAAGTTTCAATTCCAAGAAGAGAGCCAGTTAATAATTACCTAATTGGCTGCATTGAAGGGGCAGGCTTGGGTAAAGTCTGCCTGCAGCGGGGCGAGGGCTGAGAAAAGCCCTGCGTCCTGCCACTGCTGCTCAGGGAACAGGTTAATTATTCGCTTGCCTTCGGATTCATTCACCTCCGCCACCTCTTGGGGCTGCTCACATCCTTCCCAAACACGCCGGCACCCACCTGGCGTGAACCCAGGCTCCCAGAAATGGGATGAACTGGTTTGAAGTGGGAACTGGCTGCTTTAATCTAGCATCCCTTCCAACATCAGCTCAACATTGCTGCTCAGATCCCCACCATAAGAAGGGCTTGAGCTTCAGCTTATTCTAGGGAGAGCTTAAACACAGGCTAGATTTGCAGGGAGGAGGATTATTACCGCAGGTGGGAGTCTCTGGCTCGGGCCGGATCCTGCCTGGGTGCTGTACAGACACCACCCAGAGCTGTCTCTGCTCTAACACAGCACAAGTCAGCCCCAGACTGGCAGGAGGAAGGGTGCTGAAGGGTGCACGGAGATGCCTCCACCCCACCTGCTCTTGGGGGCTTGGGTTTGCTCGCACAGGGAGTGTGATCCAGAAATGGCCACATCCAGCCCCGACACCGTCCCCAGCCCCACTCACCAACCCCAGACCCCTGCAGAGGTTTTACCTGGGAACCGGGGCACTTCCCCCCGGTCCCACACGGGGAAGACTTAGAGATGGGTGGGCAGCGGATGCCCAAGCCAGAGCCTGGCTCTTTGGGATCCCTCTGCCTTTACCTGGGGTTGGATACCTTTGGGCTGAGATCCGTCTTCACGAGGGTGAGGTATTTGTGCAGCTTCTGCCAGAGGATGGGCTTGGGGAGGCTCCCGTTGGCGTGGATGGCATGTACCCGGGCCATCTCCTGCGCCACCAGCCTGGAAGGAAACGGATGCGCGGGTGAGAGGTGGGCACGCAGCAGCGGCCCCGAGAGGAGGGGGGGTTCCCCGAAAGCCATGTTTAAAAATGCAGAGTCAGCACAGCTGAAACTCGCCTCCACTTCAGCTGCAAGCCTCTGAAGCGTTTCAAGACCCTGCCTGGGTCAAAAGCAGCGTTCACCTTCCCAGATAAAAGCCACGGTTCTTATGCAGGGCTCTTTATTCACCAAAAGCCGACGCTTTAAAAACATGGTGATAAACCTGGCTGCAGTTTTGCCCGTTTATGCCCCAGCATCAGGTTTGTGCACAGCAGCGATGCCCGAGCACTGGTCTGGAGCAAAGGCGGCGAAGGGGAGAGCTGGAAACACGGAGCAAAGCCCTGATGCCCAGAAAAGCACCAGTTCCCCCATCCCGTGGCTTCACCCCAGACCCACACACCCGAGGACGCGGGGGTCCTGCACACCTGAAGATGTGGGGGTCCCGCACGTGGTCGGGCCCCAGTGCAATGCCGGGCAGGAACTGGTAGCAGAGCCCGTTCTGGAAGGCGCAGTAGAGGTCGGGGGCGCAGCCGTGGGCACGCAGCACCTGGAAGCTCCTCAGCTCCGTCTCCCGGTCCACGAACAGCTCCGTCTTCCTGCCATAGACGCGGACCAGCACCGCGTCCGCCATGCCCTCATCCGTGTAGCAGGCCACGAGCTTGTTGGTGATGCCGTCGGTGAAGAGCTGGAGGGGGAGAGGGGTGGCACAGCCGATGTCTGTGCAT